GCCAAAAACCAGTGATATTTTCAAGGTTTTAATTTTTTGTTCAAGCCCTCCCAATTTGTAGAGGATACTTCGAAGTATATGTCCTGAAGTTTTCTCAGCTTACTTACATTATTTAACTGAGAAAAAAGTTAATTACTTAAAGTTACACTATCTCGTTCGTTATTTACTGGGGAAGAATTATTTTTCTTCAAGCAAAATTCTTCAGAATGTTTTCGACCTTTAATAGTCATGTGGCAGTGTGACAGACGTACATATATACGGTGACCAGTAAGTGTGACGGACGGACATACATACAGTGACCAGTGAGTGTGACGGACGTACATACATACAGTCATGCGGCAGTGTGACGGACGTGCATACATACAGTGACCAGTGAGTGTGGCAGACGTACATATATACAGTGACCAGTGAGTGTGACGGACGTACATACATAATTGACCAGTGAGTGTGACGGACGTACATACATACAGTCATGCGGCAGTGTGACAGACGTACATATACATATTGACCAGTGAGTGTGACGGACGTGCATACATATAGTCATGCGGCAGTGTGACAGACGTACATATACACATTGACCAGTGAGTGTGACGGACGCAGGTAAATATAGTGACCAGTGAGTGTGACGGACGTACATACATACAGTCATGCGGCAGTGTGACATACGTACATATACACATTGACCAGTGAGTGTGACGGACGTGCATACATATAGTCATGCGGCAGTGTGACAGACGTACATACATACAGTGAGCAGTAAGTGTGACGGACGCAGATAAATATAGTGACCAGTGAGTGTGACGGAATGTCGAAATCTTGCAGAGCTGGGCGAATTTCTGTTACATGGAAATTTTCAGTCTGTGTAGTATTCTATGGGACACTTAGAATTGTATGTTACTAAGTAGAATAGAAGAACATTTTTATGGCGTATTAGTAATGCATTATGAGCATTAATGCATTATATTACGATTCAAGTTGTAGGATAGAGTTGACTGGAATAGTAGAACAGTAGTAGAATAGCAGAATAGTAGAATAGTAGAATAGTAGAATAGCAGAATAGTAGAATAGTGTTTTTTATCGGGTACAGCGTAAACTAGCAGAGATACTTATATATCGAATGAAAGGTGATTTTAAGTGGACATCAATGGCATAGTGTTTTGTGATAAAGAAAGTAAAAAATTTTTTTAGAAGGTAGGATTTTGAAAGGGCTTTGGAAAATCTGATCAGAGTTGCAGTATTTGAAATAGGAATGTATTTGTCGTTTTACAAAGATAAATAGTGTCCAGTGTCCTGTAAAAAGTGAAACCGTCCGAAGTCTTCATCTAGCATGGTTGTGGCGTGGCATGGGTTTCCTTGTAGCCTATTTATCTATGTAAACAGCAAAACCATTGCTGTTTTAAGGCTTGAAACTGCGAACGGATTTTACAGAGAGCTTTTCAAAATCCTACCTTCTGAAAAGAGTATTTACTTTCTTTATCGCAAAGCAGTATGCCATTGACGTGCATTTAAAATAAGGTTTAAGTTGATATATAACAAATATAGCTCTGTTGTTTTATGCTTTACCCCCTAGAAAACATTTGTTGGATCCGGATAGTATAATGAGCTAGTGTATGTCTGTTACTTAGTGGCTGTGAAGAACATGTACACATGGCAACATAGTTGTCGACGGTGATACCGAATGCAGCTAATACCTGCTCGAATGTCTCAACGGAAGACTGGTGTGAAGGTGTAGAAGGTAAAAATTTCACAAATGTTTCCACAGGTTTTTCATTATTTTGAAGGAAATCACCGGTTAATACCATACAGGTTTTATGCAAAACATCGAGTGCAATGCGATGATGTGCTTTATCTTTTGATATTGCAAATAACATTGTACGTGTAAACATCAGCGTTGGTTGCAATAGTATTTTTCGACACAATTCTCTATGCTGACATTCACTGATAATCTTGAGGGCATGTTCTTGCAAATCAATTTCGCTTTGATTCAAATCATTTGCCGAATTAGAGGCTGTAGCATCTGCGATTGAAAACAATCATTATAACCTGGAGAAAAAGGACTCAAGACTTACTAATATATAGTAGTGGTGGCGAAATGTTCTCGTCATATTTTTGTAACATATCTGCTTTTCTCGTTGTTTTGGTCTTCGACTGCGAACTGTGTTTGTCAGCATGCATCTGAATCCAGGTACCCAAATCTTTTATCAATGCTCGATATTGTTGTTTGTTGATAGCTTGCAAGCCAATGGACGTCGGTTGATGTTGTTCGAGCATAAATGCATTTGACGAATAATACTGCTCATATTCATCGAACGTAGATCCATATTTAGTTAACAATAACCTAGCGAATTGCTGTCTCTCTTCACTGTCTGGTAAACATTTCATATAAGTGGTCTGCATGAAGTTGCTTGTAAGACTACGAAATAGTTTTTCGCACGGTTTCTCAGCGGCAAAAATTATTCCATCATGATTTAACATTGATAAAATACGTTTCATTTGATCTTTGTTCACATTTTTCAATATAGATCCATTGCCGTTTAGCATCGTTTGAGTGAAAAAACGATATGGTAGTTCCAGAATTATTTTTCGAGCCAAACGATTATCAGTAGGTAATGTTTCGCCTACATCGACGACATAGTCAAACAAATGCATCACCTAAGAAAGTAAAAGACATTAAAATTGTCTAACGGGTAGAAGCATGTGCTTACTTGCGGCAAAACAAGACGGGTGTAAAAATTCACAGCAATTTGCGCTGCAGTTTCGTCGACTTCGATACAATTGTCAGCGGGTGGTCTCAATCTAGATCTTTCGGCTTCCGTATCTTTTGATGATGGACCAAATTTTTCCCGAGCCTTTTCAGCGCATGCGTTGATAAAGTCGCGACTAACTGTGGTTGACCAGATGCTGTCAATTTGTTCAAGAACTTCCAAGCTGTCAATCAGTTGTTGTACATTCACAGCGATACGGACTAAAATTTGAGATGCTCGACGTTCAATGGCTCTCTGTTGTTCGGTTCGAATGGTAATGTTGGTCGAATAGAAGTTGAATTTGTCGTTGTTCGTTTGCATGTAAACACAATGCTTCGCCAATAAAATATACGCGCCTTTAGTGAACGTATAATAACGAAAGCCAAGTCCAACTCGTGCAGCAAAGCACTGTTCAACGGTTGCTTGAGTATTGTCAATTGGCACTGAAGTCGAGCGAGTATCATACTGGTAATTTAGGTGTTTTTCGAGGTCTTCTTCTGATTCAAAGTTGTCGTAGAATATTTTTTCACGCTCATTATCGAAACACAGTACAGAACAACGTTCATGGAAACCGCCAGGTTGCTGTGAACAAGAGTAATGTTGTAATATTTCAGGCCAACGCTTGCCTGTTGTGGCCACGAGTAAATTTAAAAATTTGTCCCGGATCAGCAAATCGTAGGTCATGGTCGATTTACTCAGCGTACGAATACCATCATTTGCTTGTATGAATATAGAATGATTCGTGTCCGCTTGACTCGTGTTGAAATTAAAATAATCCAGTGATGATAATACACCTTCTGAAATGAAGAGAAAAAAGCCGGCATAAATACCTATATGATACAGATTACATTTTACCTCCTTTATGTGACAATATGAATATGCAGCGTTTGTTTAAGGCAGCTATTAATTCTTGTCCTGTCAGAATTTGATCAATTTTCAACGGACTCGATGGTTGTTTAAAAGTTTTGGACGTGTGGGATAATGTAGCAGTTACCATAGGGTTTTCGCAATATGGTTCATCGAGCAAATTATGGACGTTTGTGTCGGGTACCAATTGTGCTATTTTATCGGCGGCAAATGCAATCAAATCAATGTATTTGCCCTTTCCAATACCTATAGCGGAATATAAAGTGAATAAATACTATTGTACATGAACAAAGAACCAACCCGATTTAGCCATTAATAGCGTCATCAATGACGTAGTTTGATATTCATTGTCAAAAAACACTTTCGATGACGATCCATAATGGCTAATTGCCGATAGTATGCATCCAAGAAAAATCACGGGATCCACTTTGCTCAGCCGAGCATAATTATTTAAAAACTTGTTTAAACATGTTGTTTCAGCAACAAAATCTTCCAGCTTTAATGATGCGCTGTAAATGCAAGCCCGTGAAAAATTCCTGGAATGTACATTACCGGCCTGTTCCAGCGACAAACCACCTGCAACTTTGAAACGAGACATAACGTATCTATACGAGAAAAATTGATGCTACTGTACTGTGGAGAGCGATAAAACACAAACAGAAAAAAAGAAATATATATACGAAAGCCTACGGCTGATTTGCCACGTCACACTGTACTAAATGGTCATTATTTACCATTTGTTTCGTAATAGCCAATCATAATATAAAACCTATGACGTCGCTGTGGATACAGATATAATAGATACTAATCACAGCCAACAATGTCTACGCATACTATCCTCCTATGCCCCAACACAGCTGAACACTAATATTCTTCTATTCTGCTATTTTGCTATTCTGCTATTCTACTATTCTACTATTCTACTATTCTACTATTCTGCTATTCTACTATTCTGCTATTCTACTATTCTGCTATTCTACTATTCTACTATTCTGCTATTCTACTATTCTGCTATTCTACTATTCTACTATTCTGCTATTCTACTATTCTACTATTCTACTATTCTACTATTCTACTATTCTACTATTCTGCTATTCTACTATTCTGCTATTCTACTATTCTGCTATTCTGCTATTCTGCTATTCCACTATTCTATTACGCTTCTGTTCTAGTATTGTTCTGTTGCGCTATTTGCTGTATTAACTATGGTCGTAAAGTTTATGAATACACATACGGCAAAATTAGCGTGAATAGGTGTCTAATACATAGATAATAGATGTTAATAAAAGTAATGCACAATTCATGCATCTAATGCATAATTAATGCATGTAATGCACATTTAATGGATAATTAATGCATTGAAGTGTAGAATTTTTTCTCACTTAGAATAGCAGAATAGGAGGGCAAGCGATTATTTCTAAGTCTAAGAAATTCGCCCAGCCCTCAAATCTTGTTACACCTCGGTGGTTCTTTGGGGGTCAGATAAAACCAAATCAAATTATAGAGACGTTGTCTGGAGTTCAGAAGTGTTTGTAAACCTCGGGGGTGCTTTGGGCGCTCTGGAGAAAAGTTGGGTAGATTGAAGCTGCTTTACGAAGGTAACACATCATGTCAGAGAAGCATTCGTAGCGCGTGGTAGATAGTCCCTAGCGAACACCGACCGAACCACAGAAGATGAACTGCAGAAGTTCTGATATACTTTTCTAACCCGTGAAAAGCTATAGCAACCGTTTGCCGTTTGACCTGTATCCCCATGGAAAAACATTTTTACGCACCTCTGCATTTTCGCAAAATAAGGCCAGGACTCAAATGGTTAAAAATGAAAATCATATAGAGACAAGAGCTCACATTAAGGAACTGAAAGAGTACGCAAAACAGTAGAGGACTCGTGAATGCAAACGCACTTTCTATCAAGTTGTTCGTCTATACTGATATCGAAGAAGGTATGTTTTATTTCGTCATGATATGGAGGTTTTCAATGTTTTTTTCTGCAGAGGAACCCAGTATCTCGCAGTACTCGTCTGTCCAAATGGACCACGATTACTACCAGCCAAGCATTGTGCCTGAGCCCTCTGTCGACCATGATTATTACGCTTCCTTCGGAAAAGCCCCACGGGCGACTTCGAGCCATCGACAAAATTCTTTCGAAAAGCTGCGAGGTAAATCGAATGAGGATATTTTTATGATGCAAGACTTATTTGCAGCAACTCGTACACATATTCATTCGTTTTTTAGTGGCTGCATGCGGCTGGTTCTCGGGTGCAACATTCACTAGCACACCTTCACTTGCTACAAGTACTGTCGAGCTGGGCAATACCAGAAATGTCGGATGCGTTTTCCGCGTGCGCTTGTCAATGTTTCTAGTATCGACCCTATCACCGGGCAAATTTGAATGAAACGATCACATAGGAACGTCAACAATTACAACCCTTGGATCATTGCCGCGTGCTGGAGCAACATGGATATCAAGTATATCTTCTCGGGCTCCGACGCGAAGGCATTGACCTACTATAACACCGATTATGTCACCAAGCGCTCTCTTTCGTTTCACGACACAGTGTCACTCGTCTTCAAAGGACAGGAAAAGTAGGAAAAGAAAAATGTCGATCAAGGCCCGTTGAGTATCGAAGAACGGTCACGCAAACTCGTGCTCACTTGTACGAACACGCTCATCTCTCGTCAAGAGTTATCGGGACCACAGGTGGCCAGTTATTTAATGGACTTTGGGGACCATTATACCTCACACAAATTTGCAAACCTGCACCTCATCGGCATCGAATGCCATCTTCAAATAGCAATGAATACAGCTAAACTTCAACACGCGGCATCTCCTGTGAACAAAATCAGTAAGCGTCATTCATCGTTAGTTCGGATGTTTGTCGTATTTTTTTAAAATTAGGTACTGAAGGTGAGGAAGAGCAAGAAGAAATCGACGAAGCGGAGGAACAATTCACCGTTTAACAGTCAGATAATCCAAAAAAATACGTACTCTCAAATACACGTCTTGACTATGCAATGCGAGCCGAAAGCCTTCACGATGTTTGTCTTTACGAGTTTGTCAGCGAATTCGAAAAGCGCAAGATGACTGCGAACGATAAGCGAATCATGAAAACACAAGCCAAACGTCAAACGGAAGTTGCTTCACGCGGCCGCGGACGACTTCCAAATGAGCGGTTTTTATTTGAGCGTGGTCATCCACAGCACGAATCGCACTGCGTACTAAAACGAACAATCAGTTATGTTTCCGTTCTTCACGGCCCTCAAATCCCACGCTGCGATCGCGGCGACACGAAAGAACGCTATGGTCGAGCAATTCTCGCGCTCTTTTTTCCTTGGCGTTCTGTGAGCGATTTGTGTTCGGTGGACGAAACGTGGCACGAAGCGCTCCATGCACGTGAATCTCTTATTACTGTCAATTCGAAGCGCATCATTGGAAACATTCAGTTGCTCCATGAATGTAAGGCCGATCGAGATGAACATTTGAAACAAGTCATGGAAGAAGCACAAACGGACATTGATCCCAAGCTTATTCCTGATCCTCGCGAGAATGAGATCGAAGAGATCGAAGACATCGATTCTATCATGGATGCGCTAGCTACGTTCGACAATAGCGACCCGAACATGGCACGTCCTAGCACAAGGAAACAGAATAGCAACAAATACACGAAAACTACATTGGATCTAGTTGTTGGAAGTGGTCGATTTTCGCATTCTGATAGTGAGTAAAAATGAACTAGTTTTACCCAAAGCTTAGGACTTCTTTAAATCTGTTACAGGTACGGCAAACGGTCTTCCTCTCGACTATCTTATTCCAGCCACTAGAGACATGTCAGCGAAAAGCAAAGAATAATAAACGATTAAGGCAGAGGAAAAAGAGAAAATTCGTAACAACCGAATCGCAGAACATGGCAACGGTGGGTCCAGTTTTAATACAGCCGAGCCTCGGGCGACCACGATCAGTGACTTATCAAAGCCACGGGACAGGCAACAAGATGGTTCTGTAATACCCGTGGAGGTTATACGTACAGTGACACCAGAGCAAGTTACGAGGAAATACACGTTAAACAAAGAACAACAACGAGCCTCTTTTCTGATCACCAGCCATTTGGACGGTCACAGCCACCTTCAACAAAGTAAGTAAGCTGTTGAAAACCGGAGAAGACTAATCAAAATATGCTTCTCTTCAGATGATAAGCAAGAGCAACTTCTCATGTCTGTCCTAGGTGGACCGGGGACAGGCAAATCCACACTAATTCATGCATAATCCGAGTATTTCGAACAGACAGGACGTGGACATATGCTACTCAAGGCAGCGCTCATGGGCATCGCAGCAATCAACATCGGTGGTGTAACAATTCACTCTCTTTTGAAATGGATCCAGAAGAGGAGAACAAACAAGACGGGCGATTCTGATAACTTTGGGGCAACAAGAAAAAAGAGCAAAGCTCGCAATGCAAAGGCTGGAAATCGGGGCGTGGAATTCGACCGGCGGCACGTTGTATATCTCTTTATCGATGAGATGTCGATGGTCGGTCTCAGCCTTCTCGCCGAGCTGGCCAAAGTAATGACGATGGGAAAGCGTGCTCCTGCTGACTTGCCGTTTGGAGGCGTAAA